CAGATCTGTCTTTTACTGTAATGGACAGATGGTAACATTATGAAGCAGGCTTTCAATATGAGGGCAATGGCTGAATCTGACAGCAGAAATTTTCTTGACAAAAATTGAGAGATTTGCAGCAAATGTAAAGGAATTTAGGAAAATATTATATATATCCAAAATTTAAGCAAAATTCTGTGGTCAACCCAGGCAGATGATCCTAGCAATAATCTATGTCGCTTGCATAGTTAAAGTGACTAAATAAAAGGTTAATACAAGGAAGTTGTATCAGAATACATGCAGGTGGCAGGGATATTCATTATATATAATTATGCTTCAAAGAGGAAGTATCATAATGTTTGAACGAGCAGAAGGTATACTTTAAAAAATGTTTTAAAAAGTTATGAAATTTTTGATGTAACAACTTCATAAAACTGAGCTGCTTTTTACCTCTCTTTCAGACATTGTGAGGATAGGTCAGGCAACAACTGAGCATTCTTGAAAAAACAGGCATCTGGTTTGCTTTATAGAAACCTTGCAGGAGCCCACAATTCCCCCAGACTGCACCATAGGGAACCAACACTTATTAGCTGAATAGCTCTGTAGATGTTCTACTGTCTTTTTCAGCAGAACATTTTTCACTGTAGTCTTGTTTTTAATCATTCGATTCAGTGGGAGTAAATTCCCAGCTGCACATTGACATAGTTGAGAGAGGTAATGCTCACAAAAGAAGAGCTGAACAAAATACAAATGAGTGCTTCAAAGTCTTCTACTTACAGAGAAAGATCAAATTTGACTTCATAAGGAAGTTACAAGTAATAAAGCTTTCCCCATATTGCCTTGTCTAATTCTGTTCTACCTGCAACTTCAGACAGCAAAAAACAAACTATGAAAAAAGAAGGTGGCCTGAGGCAGAAAATTTTGCAGCATGTGGGAGCTCTGGCTATGTTTACATGTCTGATAGGGAATAACCAGATAGGTTTGCAAGAGCAAGGCAAGAGTTCCCCAAAATTTTTTTGGGACAAATCCAAAGCAGATAGGTACAGTGACCTAAGTTCCAAGATCCTACACCTTCAAGAGCAGGAATTCACCTGTCCATAGCCAGTTTCTCTGTACAGGAAGGACAGGAAAGGAAATAGACAAAATGGAAGTTTACAAAAAATATCTACGTGCTATGCAGGAGAGTAACTAGGTTAAAAAGAAAAAAAAAAAGCTTATATAAGTGTGAACTCTACCCAATTTGCAATACTTTGAAAAGACTGAGCAGAAACATTCAAATTCCAGAGATATTTTCTGGAATTTCAAATTCCAGAGTCTCTGGCTAAGAAAAGGCATTCAGTTCTATTAAAAATTACAGAAGAAAAAAGGAGTTGGGTGCATTCGGCATTTTCCCATAAAATCTCCTGAGGTATGAACTGACATAACCCTGAGAGCCTGAATCCATCCAAGCACCTCTAATTTCTAGGCCACAGTGTCATACTCTCTTGTGGCTGTCTAGCTTGGATTTTATGGTGCACAATGAGACAATGTAAACAGAGGAATCAAAGCCATAACCCTAGTGGTTATTGCCCTGTCTGGGGAAGTGGAAGACATTTGTTTCAAAACTGAGAACACAGTCCTCTCATGTCCTGAGTAAATGATCTGACCATCAGTCTGTTGTTCAAAAATCAAAGTGTTTGCAGGAACAAAACAGCTGTAGCCATGCTTCCAGATGTTTCTTTTTAAAGTGGTGATCATTGCTGTTTTTTCCACTAAGTGCCAAGTTTGGTCGAACATTGTACAATTATGAATTTACAAGGCCCACTTATCTCATAGTTTCTTTAAAATGTATCTGATCTTGAAAGCCTTGCTCCTGTATGTGTCATTAAGAAAATTAGACTAAATCACTTATCTTTTTCTTACTCATCTTACTTCCAGGTTGCGAGGACTGACAGTTACCTAGAGAGATGATGCATTTTGCCTCTGCTTTAAATAATTATTTCTTTTAGTACTAAATACTTTCCTTCAATATTGATACTTTTGCTCCAGCATAGAAGGGTCTAAGAGGAAAATTCATTTATAGCTTTTCTTCACAAATGATATTTTTATTTTTACCTAGCTCTGTTTTTTCCAAGGTCAGCCTAAGTAGCTGTATTTGGCCCTAGTAAAAGTAATTCACTTATATCATGAAGGGACTGAAAAATATTTAAGTGGAAATGTCTTCTATTTTTAAAGGATTTATTTTAACAAATGGTTCCTCAGCAACTAGAATAAGCTGCTTTTGTATCTTAGAAAGAAAGTAAATGAAAATGCATATATGAAATAATCCCTTCTACATTTCTTTGCCTTACACTAGGGCAGCCTATAGGCATGTGAGATAATTTTAATTTCATTCTGCTTGAATAAGATACAAAGAAATGTCAGCTAGATACATATTTATTTCTGCGGCCTGTCTCCCAGGAAAGAAATGTTTTTCTTTCATGTGCTAGAGCTTGTTGCCTCTCTTTTTTAAGTTTCACTTTTATCTCACAGCATTTCTTTATTCATGTATTACAATTATAACTTTATGTGACATTTAATATTCCTGAATTCTCAAAAAATAATGAAAATAATAACTCAGTTACAAGAGAAGAAACATACTATGAAAAACACCTGCTTACTGCATAATTTTAATTTGATGCTTATTATTAAATTAAACAATGGTCTTTCTACTTTCCCTTTTGATTTATGAAGGTTTTTTAGTCTTTCTAAACAATAATATTCTTGTCTTTTGGATTGTTAAAAAAAATTCATTCCATACTACATGATGCTGAGTTGCACCATTTCTTTCCCACCAACCTCTAAATTGTTGATTGTACAAGTGGAAAGATGTGTAGGCAAGCTGCAGTGGTGCAAACTAATGTGTTAAAGAAAATGATGTGCACATTGTTCATTTCCCACAACAGCACAAAGACACCATAAGATAAAAGAACTGGAGCATATTTCTTATCTGCCAGGAAACCTCAGGTCTCTACCTGAATGACAGAGATTATGGACAGACTAGGTCAGTGTCTGCCTGTGCCAGCAAATGTAGAAACCATACCACTTCTCTCCTTTCCATTTCAGTAGCATAAAAATTGTCAACAACTCATCCTGTGTTTTCCACTCTGCAGATGGGTAACTCAGCCTATTGTGCCTATCTGAAACGAGACCTGACACGCAGCTACAAAGATCAAGATACTTGTAGTCTTCAGCTCCTGACCAACACAGGATGAAAGGGCAGCAGTAATTGTACAACTGCTGCTAAACATACAGAAACTAATATAAAACTGACAGCTGAAAATCTGTACACTCCAGCAAGGAATATTAGCTTTGAGAGATGTGCTAGTGTGCTGAGCCTGAAATGTTATTCTTCTCTGAAATTCAGGCCAAGAGGGATAAACCTATAATTCCCAAGGAACTCCATCAGAATGACTTAGAGGGCAGTGCAAGAGGCAGACCCTTTGCAAAGCAGTTCAGAAGTACATTGCATAGAATCCTGCTTTCCTGGAGCTCCAGTATAAATTTAGCCTTGAAATGAATCACAGTTGATTTTTGAAGCTAATATTTTTAGTGCATATGGTAGAAGAATTTGTTCTAACCCCAAGCCAAAACCAGATTTGTTAGCTCTGTCATATCTTCCCCCTGCTATGTTGCCTGGAATTTAAGGCACAATTCAAATATCTGTCATGTTCTTAGGAACAGTAATGTCCAAGCAGCCTGTTCTGGAGGCAAACTGCTGTGATGCCTAACAGAAGAGGAGTGAAATAACTTTAGTCAACATGTCTGTAGTCATTCATTGCATCAGCTGGATACCTAAAGAATGGCTTGGTTTGCTGACTAAATCCAATCTTACTTTTGGGCCTGTACCTTACTTTTAAAAATTAAATAAATGAGAATGGAATTTAGATAAATCACTGGGATTAAAAATTAAAAAATAAATTCTGTAGCTGAACCAAACTCTCTTTTACAAAAACACTAGATATTTTACTCAGTTGTTTGATGCCATTTATGTGTTTGTTTCTTGAACATGAGGAAAAGAGTTGGGTCTTAATATACCTGTAGGGATTGTAAAATGACACAAGGGAAGCACAGCCTTCCTGTAATAAAACAGAAAGAGCAGAAAATTTACAAGATATATTGGTATTCAGCTTTAGCTCAAGTTTGCTCAAAAATTTTATTCCTTGTTACTTGAAATGTGATGCTAAAGGTGATTAAAATGAATGAACTTAGCAAATAAGACTGTGTCAGCACATGTTAAAAAGGAATTATCTTGGAATTGGGAAGACAGTGACACTTCAAAGGTGTGGAGTCTCTGAAGGTGCAGGTGAACTATTTGCCTTGAATAACAAACTTTGTTTTTCTGTAACGATGTAGTCCTTGGACAAGCAGGAGAAGAGATGTTAGACACTTCAATAATCATCAAGACAAACTTCTTGTATGGTCTCTGTCTTACCTATGAGATAATGGGCTTTTAATGCCTACCGCTGATATTGAATTAGCTAAGATAAAATCTTCCTACTCTTAGCATGCATGTATGCAACTGATATAGCTTAGTTCCAATACGTTCTGTAGAGTCATGTGGATAGATGTGGTTCAAATGGAACCCTATTTGTTCATTTTATTTGTTGTCCGGATATTAAAAATCCTGCAACAACCATCCCGGGCACAAGTCCTGAAAACCACGTTTTATCAAGGACTTAATTTTTCTACCTTCTCTCTCCATTAGTGAGACCACTCAGAGTTTTACTTTTATTTTACCATGATTACCACCAACTCTGGCAGATCATTTTCTAAAGCAAAATTTTTGTAGGCCAAATCCAAGATGCCCAGTTGTTTCAGACCCTCTTCCCTTCCAGATAATTCTAATTTCTACTTAATTTGCCAGTTCTTCATAGTCATCTCAGGCAGAGCTCTCAGTCTGCCAGTATATGCTTATCCAGCTAATTACCTGGAATGACTTCAGCCACTTAAAAATTACTTGTCCGTTTAAGAGAGCTGTTTGCACAGAGGCTACAGTGCCATGCATTCACACAGTTCTTGAGTGTTCCTGAGAAATACTCCCTCTGGCAACCTTCTCCTCCCTGGATGATATTTTAGTCACGTAATTACCAACTATTTACCACCTGTTTTTTGCGCTTCAGATGTGCAAGACCTCAGACCTTTGGTCAGAAGAGTATTAATGTAATTTAACCAGTCCTGTACCTTCTGAACACCACTGTTCAACATAACAATGTTGTTTTTTTCTGTCCTTTCTTTCTAGTCCTATGATTACACCACTTAGATTTTGTGTGATTTGTGATATCTTTTTAGAATTAAGTAAGAGTACCTTCACAGTAGCCAGACGAAAACAAAATACATTGAAAACTGCGCTCTTCAGCCACAGTAGCTGGTTTGTGTCCCACAAAACACAGTTTGGCAACTCTGTTTCCTTTCTCAACCTTCATGCATCCATGCCCTGCAACCCAAACCCTAGCACACTGCATTTCAGTGACAGAAGTCTTTACTAACCCACCTGATTTAGTTTAGGTTGGCCTGGTCCTGCAGACCATGCTAGATGAACATTGCTTTCAGCTATTTATGTAGAATAAAAGGTTCACTTTTCGCATCAGCAACTAAAAGTGATCAGGACCTTCATATACTACCTAGGCTAGTGACTGACTGTCCTTTTTTCAACAACAAAATGTAACCACTAGGACTTTCATAAATAACATTGTATTTCCCAGCCACTGATAATAACAGAAGAAAGAATGATGTAGTGGTTGGAAAAAAATAGAGATCATCAATTCATTTGGAACTATACCAAATAATGAAATATTTTCAGTTGTAAAATCAAGAATACCTCTCCTTGTTAACACTGATCACTAAAGAAGTTTTAGAGACAAATTTGTGTCATCAAATAGTACAGTAAGTTTGCATAATTTATATTTTCTAACTTCCCCAGGGGACTATTACAAGACTTCAGATTTCCATAATTCAGTGAACACATTTGATAGGGCCATGTATTTCCCATTTAAATTTAATTGATATCTAATTCAAGTTAATTTAACATACCTAGTGGAAACGTTATACTATTTTAAATTTATTTGGTATAATGTAAACTCACATCTCTCGCATCTCCATTAAGTCCTTTATGTTATAAGACACATTTACGTTATAACTACGACCTTGACTCACAAAACTGAAGTTACAGTATTGAATGCTAAAGCTATATTTTGGTATTTAAAATGTAAACATGACAAAAATTAATTACTACATCAGCATTTTGAATACACCGATATTTTTTTAATTTTCATTATTTTTACTTGATGAATTAGTGGGCAGACTGGATAATCAAAATTAAAAGCATACATTAGAGATGAATGAATCTGATTTAGTGAAATACATTTTGATGCAGCAGTTGCTTCTTGCCAGTTCAATGAGTTTTATTCAGGGGGATATCACCTCTGGCCATAATCTACATGCTTCAAATGATAATCTGCTTTACACACGACTGCTTTTTGTTTGAATTCATGCAAAGTTTGATAAGATATATACTTCTGACTTTTCATCGTTTACGGCATTTAATAGTGAATTTTTAGACTGTGTTTACGGAATATCATGCAATCAATATGATAGAAAAATGTCTCCTTCACAGTTGATTTTATTACTTGAGTAATATTTGATCTTAATTAAATACTTATTTAAAAGGATATGGTCTCATTTTAGCATATTCATCTATCCCCAACAAAATATCAAAGTAAACCAAAAGTCAGCCTGAGTCTCTGTGAATACCTTGTGTAAAGGTTCTTCTCAAAAGGAAAATCAAGAATCTAGAAGGCAGAGGTGCTGAAAGCATTTTAAAATTTATAAACACTAATTCTTACCTTCTAGGTTCATTCAACATAGACAGATCAGAAAAGATGAAGTGTATTGAAGATTTCAGGTCAGCAGATCAGGTCATTGGTATGACTGAATGGCATTTATAGGTGTATTCAAAGAGTAATGAAGTAATTGAATATAACAGGAGTAAGATTTATGCTCACATAACAATGTTATGTTCTTCACTGGAACTCAAAATGTCAGTATTTGTGGGCAAACAGTTACTCTTCGTAAGTTCTGAACAATACACTTTAAACAGTAGTTTGTCATTGAAAGGTTAAAAGATTTTCCTGTTATAAGTAGGTTGTCTTCAGCAGCTCTTTAACGTCACACTGAAGCAGAAAGGAAATATTGCAAAGAAGATGAAAGCTATATAAAGTAGATGAAAAAATTGCTCCCTTTTGGTTCCTTCTGGTATACGTGTACCCTTGTCATTCAACCTGTTACAACAACAGAAGCTATATAGTTTTAGATTTCAGTTTTAAAATATCACGTTGTCCATATCTATTAGATTCTAAGAAAGTCTTAATGAAACCTGAATGAGAAAAGGAAACCTTTTTTTCTTGCAGTTGTAATAACCAGATAAAATTTTTTCAGAAAAAAAATTAGAATAAAATATCAGGGATATCCTGGAGAGTTAATATATTCAGAGGAAGTAGGGATATTTTACCCGGTGATATCCCATGCAAATATTCATCTGAGAGATGAAAATAGAAGGAAAAATACTTGTCCTTTGCAAAGTCTGGCCCTCTATTACTATGGCTTTTGCTATTATATTTAATCTCATACACACATGCAGGAGGTATGGATAAGTGCAGGAATATTAAAACTGAATGCTTTTTAATATCATTATATGTCATAGACAGTTAGTATGAGAAGATTACAATGAACTGCTTTCCCGTGTGTTGTTCCAGTTTCAGAGAAAAGCAATTTTTCAGTTTGGCTACTACTGCTGCAAAAATTCGCATTTTTTGAAGAATTTTCACCTAACAATTCAAATTGACATAAATCCATAAAAACAGCTTTGACAATCCACCATTTCACCTGTAGTAAAAGGAGAAAGAGATCTGAGTGTGAAGGGCCTATTTTATCCTTCATAGTTTGGGGAGGATAAGATGTTCCCAAACACCCAAGAGACCAGGAGGTTTAGCTAATTTAGATCCTTTGGTTTAATCCATTAATAGACCACCCGATTATTAAGATTTAAAAAGAGATTCATAAGAAAGCCTTTTTCTTTTTTTCTCTTGTTCAATATTGTATAGAATGGCAGATAATAATTCAAGATTAACAGGTACAAGCTGTATTACCTCCTTTTTATGAAATTTACTTAAAAACATTATAGTTTGGTACATTCCTGCTTTTCAAAGTTTGCCACTGACTTACAGTTTATTTGTTTTTTTATCCTTTTTTTTAGTTGGATATACAATGAATGATCTCATTTTTGAGTGGCAAGAAAAGGGAGCAGTTCAAGTAGCAGAAGGTCTCACTCTGCCACAGTTTCTGTTGAAAGAAGAAAAGGATTTATGTTACTGCACCAAGCATTATAATACAGGTAGGAAAGCATATTAGTGATTACAACAGGAAAGACATTTAATATTTTTTGTTATAATAAATGTCACAGCTGGGATATTTTTTAAATGTTCTCACTGAACTCCAAAGAACATTAAAATGTACAGGATAACTTAAATAACTGCCAAACAAAACAAAACTACTTAAGACTGACCAAACTTGTATTCTAGTTACCTTAAGAAAATATATAGCTGAAAGAATTCAGAAGCAGTTCAGTCAGGAGTTTTATTTTTTCAGCAAGTGCCATGACCACATTTACACTGTGGATCTGAAACACTACTGAAATACAAACGTCCATATGCTGCACACTAATCATAGCCTGGTTCAGTCAGGAAAAAGGGACACAGGGTTGCCAAGCCAGATATTCCTGCCCTTGTTCATAAAGGGTCAACGTGAACAAGCTGAAATCATGCTTAGTGTGCAGTGCCCAAGTGTAAAAACTAGACATAAGTCTGCAGTGGCAGATTAGTGGGAATGGTTTCAAACTGAGAGTAGGTTTCAATCAGATATTAGGAATAAATCTTTTAACTGTTCCAGTGATGAGTCACTGGAACAGGTTGCCCACAGAAGTTGTGGATGCTCCAACCCTGGAAGTGTTCAAGGCCAGGGTGGTTGGAGATCTGAGTAACCCGGTCTGGTGGAGGGTGCCCTGCCCATGGCAAGGGTGTTGGATCTAGGTGATTTTTAAAGTCTCTTCCAACCCAAGCCATCCTATGATTACAATTCTATGATTTATGATACTGAATTGAAGCCTTTGTAGAACTGAGATATTTAGCTCATTATCTCTGGGATTATTTTAAAAAGGAGGGGATTAACATTAATTATATAGTTATCTCATTTTTAATTGTAAAAAACTATTTCAATAACTGCACAATCTCAAGCATAATAATCCTCAAAAAACATGTAGCAATGGCTAAGAATGCATAACTTATATCTTGTCTCAAGAAAAAAAAATCTAGAAATCTTTTATTCTAATCCATGTATCTTTTAAATTCTGCTCTCCAACATGAGTCTAGATTAAATGTATTTTAAAATTTAAGATTAGAATGATTCATTTGAATTCTGCTGGAATGTCGGGGGGGAAAAATTAACTAGGTGGTATCCATAAGGAATGTCTTGTTGTGATCAAAATTAAGGATGAGTGCTTTTCAGCCCTGAGTTTTATCACAACTGTTGTGGTGACCTAAGAGAAAAAAAGGTTCTCTAATGATTTCCATTTAGAGGAGAAAGATATTTATAAAGACATTTTGAAGTGTTCCCTAAAATAAATTTGAAATACTTAACATACATTTTTACTGTACAAATACTAATATCTGGATAATCCTTAAAAACATTCTAAAAATGGAGATATATATCCTATAGCAGGGTAATTTTTTCACTCAAACATCTCTTTGTTAATGATAATATAGAATTTCCTATTATTCCTTTTTTTCTTTCTACCATAATCCTTATGACAAATAAGAAAATTTTATTTTCATTATTTTCCACTGTCTCCTTTTGAGATATACAGGCAAGTTATCCCTCTCCTGCTTTTGTGCCATTTTAACATCTGCCTGTAACTGCACTTCTATACCCTGTCTAGTGATATTAACAAGTACGAATTCATGATATAGAATATTTTCCGAAGTTCATTTGCATACCATGATGCATAAAAAAATCTCTAACTGAGGAATTAAGACATTTACATGGTGTGTAATCTGGTACTGAATGGAAATCTGTATTAAAATTTCATAATTTCCAGTGATTTCCAAACACCTCATGAAAAGCTGAGTTGTATCCTTATTCGTTTGTCTGAGAACTCACATTATAATCATCATGGTTTAAACCTTATCTTTTTGATTAAAACTTCATTGTTTCAATATTTTTGAGGCATTACATTTTTCTTCACAACCTATATTTCAAGCCTATTTAATTTGGCATGAATTTTCATCTAAGGAAAAATAGGAGAACATGCTTCACCTAGGCATACTACACTAGGTTGTATGGGGTCAACTTAATTCTACTGCTTTTTCCCTGTGGCCCGAAACCGAGTTGAGAAGCAGGAGCAACAGATGTTATTAATGGAGGCATGTGAGGCCTCATGCTTCTCAAAATGTGGCTACAAGACAAGTGTGCTTATCTCTGTGCAATTCTGTCACATTTAGATGGGAGAAGGGGTTTACCATGATAAGTCTGGAGGACTGTGTGGCCAATCAGCAGTCTGTTGTACTCTGTGTTGCTTTGGTCAAACTGCATTTCTGTGGCCAAGCATGCTACAAAGCACCAGTGCAACCCACAATCCTGAAAAGATGGATGAAGTTCATGCCTCTCCTGAAAGAATAATTGGACAATTTGTCCATAAAAAGTCAAAGTATTTGCTAACACAGAAAACTTGGAACCCTGGATGCAACTAGATGATGGAGACTTTAAAAAACATCAGAAAAAGAGAAGACAATTGCACAACTGTGGAACCTGTCTGTGATGGGCAAGGGGGAAAAATGTGATGCTGAGCAGCACCATCTGCAGAAAAAAGGGTATGTCCTCACCAGAGTAAGCAACAGAGTGGCCTGTTCTGAGTTACAGCAACAAAATTAGAGGTACAGATCTAGAAGAACTTTGGCAGGACAAATCAGATAAAAAAAGATGGTCTTGCTCATGCAGGACTACATTTATTGTGATACTCTCCTCTTCAAGACAACAGTATTTTATCCAGAGTATTTTTTTTTTCAATTCAAGTCTTCAGTATAAAGTGAGTTTAATAAGATTCAAGAGGTTTGGTTTCTAGGAGTGTAAGAATGCATTTTATTTCTTTTTTGCAACCAGTACTATTAACTACCATTTGTAGGCAAAAACCCCATAAACATTATATTAAAAGACAACAACAGCTAAGAGTTTATTTTCACTATGTCACTTGGATATGTGACTAGTAATGTGCTTTCTTAAGACTCCTGCAATGAGCTTTTGCAGGCAGATACACCTTTAGAACACCACACAAGAAACAAAATTTAAAAAAATGAATTTTCAAAACTTGAAGTAAAGTCTATTTCTCTGGCCTATGACAGATTAGATAAACTGAATTCTTAAAATAATGATAAACAACTGCAGCTGGTACGCAGTAAGTGACCAAGAAGAGTTTTCAAATTAAATTTAGTTACAACACAGAAAGGAAAATTCTTCTGAGACATCCTGTAAAATAGAAAAAAAATCCCAAAATTCTCCCTGTGAAAAAATTTAAAATGAAGCTTCAGGACAACTTGTGGAAACTCATCAGTGCATGTCTTGTCAGTGTTTCATGCCCAATTGAAAATGAATAACTGTAACCACAGCTCAAAAAACAATGTCTAAATATAGAGTCATAACAGTTTCAGCAAAAGTACAGCAAAATGGCTCATCAAGTCTTGTGTTCTGAAGTGACACAACAACATTTCCGATAATTTTCATGTTTTGCATCCACAGGCATATCCGCAGTGACACATTTGGGAAGTGAAGTAGAATCATAACAACCAGCAAAATCACATATGAACCATTTATGTTACAAGGATGGTCTTGCTTTACTGCAATCCTATGTGACATTGATTGCTCCCCTGGGCAATGAATTTTTATTTCACCTAATTTTTACTTCAATCACAGATAATTTTAATCATGGCTGCAGAAAGCCCAATATACAGTAGCTTGAATTTGTGCATAATAGCGTTGGTTAACAGGCACAAACAGAAATACTCTGAGTCTTGGTTTTAATCCTGCTCCATGGATAATACACAACACTTGCACTTGAATGATGCTGCTCACAACCGTCTTAGGTCTATTAATGCTTTTTGGCTCAAAGGTTCGGATATAGTGGTCCTGGAAACAGTGGAACTATGGTTCCTACACTCACCACCAGAACTGATGGATTCCATGTGACCATTTCTGATAATTGCAGTCTTGATGAATGGCATGTTTCCTTAATTTATCAAGCTGAAAAAAAAAAATTAGTTTCTCTTTTCCATATTTATTTTCAACTTTCTTTTATTGCAGTCATTATCAGTCTTACACCAATGTTAAATTTACCACCTGCCCAAGTATTTGTTTCCTGAAAAGCTGCATAAAGACACTTCCTTCCTGTCCAGGAATTTATGTAGTCAATGACAGGTCACAACATCAGTACTGATTTCTCCTAATATGCTACTAATATCCACAAACTTGATAGAAAAACTGAATGATAGTATATTCCTAGAGTTGTTTTGTGAATTTTGGCTTTAGATATATACATTTAGATATATAAACAACTTGTCTAGTTCTATATGCCAAACACTGGAAAATCATAATTTCTATTCAGGCTGTATGATGATACATACAACCTGTTTTATCTGTTTTATGACGAGGAAAAGGTGAGTACTTTTATAAGCAGTTTTTATCAGCAAAATACATTCAAATTGCAATTTATATTAAATGCAAACTGCAAAGTTTTTGGAGACTGAACTAATCAAGTGTTTTTAATTACCCTGACTTCTTCCTAGAAAGGTATGAAAATAATTTCAGCTAAATTTACTTATATGTAGTTAATTTTAGAGGTACAATCTCTTGAAATAATGAGCTCTACATGCACATAATTTATGAATTGTATTTTTTGTTTAAGAAATTTTATCATTAAAAGACAAAAGGAGTGAAAGCATTTAACTGTATTTCAGTAATAAGTAAAGCAGAGCTCCTGTCAAATGATGGTGTCACATTCTGGGAGGAATAAAAAGGAAGTGTCAGACAAGGTAAAATCAAGTAGATTGCTTGCTGTGTGGTGATTCTGCTGTGTGGAGAGAAAGGGACGGTATTGTCTCATGGAAAAGACAGTTTACATATTTCGTTCTCCTTCAAGCTCTCTGTGAAAATCATCTACCATTATGATTGCAGGGTGACACATAACATGCTGTTGCCAAGAAAGGTTAATTGCAAACTTATTTTAGCAGATGCAGAGAAAAAAGAAAGCACACAACAACAGGCAAAAGGAAAGTGTTGGTGGTCTATGTC